TCTCTCTCTCTCTCTCTCTCTCTCTCTCTCTCTCTCTCTTTCTCTCTCTCTCTTTCTCTCTCAAAAATTAGATTTCAAAACTCACTTTGCTTGTTTTCTAGTTTTCTTTATTTATTTATTTATTTATTTATTTATTGCGGAGCCAGGGATTGAACTCAGGCCCTTGTGCTTGCCTGGGAAGCACTTATTCTACTGAGCCATCTCCCCAGCCCCATAGTTTTCATTATTTTTTAGTATCATTCTATTCTTATTTTTTGATTTCATTTAGAGAAAGAGCAGTGTTTCATTATGAAGTGAAGCTTCACTAGAGAACAAACTCAGAGAATTTGATTTGTGGTTAATATCAGATGTAGGCAGGTATTTTGGAGCATTGTAACTTGTTTCACATTTTGAGTACAAAAGTCATGTTGCCACCTTCTTTCTGTAGACATTGCATGAATTGTTATATGAAGACTGAAATCGTATTTAACAGCTGCAGTAACAAAAGACAGGAATACCTTGCTTGGCCTGTGGGAGACTTTTCTTAGTTCAACACTTAAAGTGGGCTTGGGAAATTGGTCAAGCAGTGGCCATGACTCATCCACACAGCTGACACTAACAAAGGATCTGCAAACTGAGGTACAGGGTTTCAGGATAAATCCTGAGGGGATTTGACTGACCTTGTCAGATACAGAAGTTACATTTCTTGGTATATAGGTCTTGCTTTATTTTGGTCTTAACTATCCAACAGAAAAGTATAAAAGTGAAATATAAAAAGTAAAGGCATATTAATATGCTGAGCTGTAAAAGGCTCAAGTCAACAGCTTCTGACATTGCCAGTCCTATGGATAACCCACTACTATTATGGACTACTGGACTATATGGGAATATTTTGCTGAATTCACACACCTACAATGGGATACCCATCTCTGACAAAACTAAACCAAAAAAAGGGGGGGATACAAATGAATGACCATTTTGAGTCTGTATATTCAAAATAGTTAGAATAAACATACAGCTACTTTCTCTTAACTCAATGAATAGAAAGATTTGTATTAATAGTGTTTGTGGACAGGATATCATGTCTGCATCTTATACTATGAAAAACCACTATGAAGACAGCAATATGCAATGTATTAATTATTGAAACTGTCCTACTAATCAGTTTTGAAATGATCTCATTGCTACTTGTTTCTCAATAAAATTATTTTAAAAATAAATAAATAAAAATTTAAAAAGTGGGCTTGGGGCACAAGCTTGTCCCTGGGCCTCTCATCTTTAAACTCTGAGTTCTCCTGCGGGGGAGATGCTGTCAGGTGTCACCTCCACCATGAGGACTGTCCTGCCACCAGCTAAGGAGTGAGACTTTTCTCCCTCTTCTGGGACCCTTGTGCCCTCAGAGTGTTCCTCTTAGGATAGCTCTGCGCAGCTGTCAGGGTCAACTGGAAAGGAGCTTCAGAGATACTTCTTAGAAATATGTCAGGGGGCAAAAAAAACCCCACAGAACCTTGGCAGAGTCCTGCCTTCTGTGTCACCATGCCCTGAGCTGCTGCTAGCCCCTGCAGATACAGCTGTTTTGCAGATTAAATAAGGTGCCTTCCAGAGGACATAGTTGCAGCCCAACCATTGTCACCAGGAACTGGCTCAAGGCCCAGCCTGACAACACGAATTAATACCTACCTCACCACCTGTGTGCACACATGCATGCACATGGAAACACATCCTAGCCACCT